AGTGGCCAGCCTTGGAGCAGGAGAGTGCAGACAGGCAAGGGCAGCCAGCCTGTCTGACCTTAGACCAGACCAGTGTCACACTGTGTGAAGGTTCCCCTGGGATCATCAGGTCTCCCATTTTTTATTTGTAATGATCATTACAAATAACCCAGTCCCAGGTGATATATCTACAATACAACTCCCGCACGTAAGGCTCAGGGAATATCTCAGAAGGGAAAGGTGGGAAATTCCCAAGAGCCAGAGGACCAGGAAATCTGCTGTGGGACTATAGCTCCTAGAAATGACAGAGCAGCCTCCACCATGATTCCTCAACAATATGGCTGCACAAACAAGACCAACAGGGTCCACAATAGCCATGCCAACATGGGAGGGGGAAATCTCACGGCGCCCCAACCCTAGACAAAGAACTACAGGCAACTAAGGGATGCTGAGAGAAAGACAATTATTCCTTCCCAGCAATCAGCTCCCTAATTCATTTCCATTTTATTACAGCAAGACCTCCTCCCTTGGCGGACCAGGCTGACTATGAACTCACAATCACCCTGCCTCTGCCTCTGAGCGCTGGCGTGATAGGCGTCTACCATTGTGCTGACTCAAGGCGTCCCACTTTTGAAAGATAAGTCAGAAACGCAGATGTTTTCCATTGGATTTTGAAATTTCCCCCCAATGGTAATATCACCAGTTTTATTTTTTTATTAAAATCGTGTGGTGTTAATAAGACGGGCTTAGACTCAGCCCACAGGTTCCCTAAACGCCCAACAGAGCGGGATCACCCACGGTCCTCTAAGTTTCGTAAGAGTGAGACAGCCTCATTCTTTTGTGGAAAAAGATAAAGGTGACAAGCCTGTTGCCGTTAGCCACATGGCTGCCTCAGACTCCCACAGGGATGGCAGGCAGGTCTCAGGAGGGAACACGACCTCAAGGGCTGAAAATAATGGCCTGGGGAAGGCAGAGGAAAAGAGGAGGAAGGGGAAGGAGGAGGAGAGAGGACAAAGAAAGAGAAACGTAAGGAGGGGATGAGAGAGAAGAAAGAAGGAAGAAGAGGGAGAAAGGATTTTAGTCTACAACATAACTATAAGCCAGTTCTTCAGAATTCCTTTTTCACGTGTATCTAATGTTCCACCAACGCAGTATCAATTTGCTTTGAGGAGAGAGGTGGAAGGGAGGGAGAGAGAGAGGAGATGAGCATCATCACTCCAATCTTCCATGTCTCTGATCTCTCCCCTTCCCAGCCTGGCTCCCTTTGGCCTCTGCTACCAGGACACCACGGAAGCCTCTCCCTGGTAGAAAAGTTGGTCTCTCTGCCTCTGCAGCTGGCCTTGGACATCCAAAGCTCATTTCCTGGCTGTCTCTGTGGTCTGCAACACTGTCTCCCATGCTTTTCATAGCTGCTTCCTTCGAAGCAGCTGGGTCTCCGCTCCCCCTTATGAAGTTTCCCAATTCCAACACGTTGTGTTCTGTTTTCTCAGGGTGGGGCTCCATGTTTTGGTCATGGTCTTTTCTCTACCTCATCAGCTTGATCTTTGAAGGTGGTAGAGGGAGGGGGGCCCATCTCCTCTGTGTCCTGTGTTCACTGTATCCAATTACAGCCCTTCTGTGTATATGCGCGCGCGTGTGTGTGTGTGTGTGTGTGTGTGTGTGTGTGTGTGTGTGTGTGTGTGTGTGAAATTCAGGTTTCTGCATTTGCAGCCTCCCGTTTTAAATGTCAGTAATTAAAAACATAACTATATAGGTAGAATGAATGATAGAGTATAAAAACAACTAGACAGGATATAATTAAACATAAACATAGAATGACCACAGAATATAATTATATGCATAAAATATATTTATAAATCTAGCATCCCTTAGAAAAATCTCTACTTGCTTTATTTCCATGTTTTTGTTATGGAATAAACAGTGTTTTTTAAAATTTCATTATGGGGGCTGGAGAGATGGCTCAATGGTTAAAGCATTGCCTGCTCTTGCCAAAGGACATGGGTTCAATTCCCGGCACCCACATGTCAGTTCACAACCATCCATAACTCTAGTCCCAGGGGACCTGATGCCGCATTCCGACTTCCACAGACATCAGGCACACATACAGTGCATAAACATACATGTAGGCAAAACATGCCTACACATAAAATTTTCTTTTAAAAATTCCATTGTGAATACATATCATTTTTTGACTGGCCCAGCAAAGATGGAGAATGACATTCCTGCTATGACCCAGCGGTTTCAGAAGTCCTTCAGAAGCCACTACATAAATAATGACTTGTCATTGCCTGCTTTACATGCCAAGCAGAGCCATGAAGCCTGGGGCTGGACTGGGGTCGGCAGTCCCAGTGGCCTGGAAGGAAACTAGGTAACAACCCAGCTTGCTATTTTTCTCAAGTTTCCAGACCTTCGTTACAAACATCGACTATAAAAGGGCATGTTTATAAACTTTTACAAAGTGGCCTGCAATCTTGGCGAATGCCATTTATGGGTTTGGATCCACCAACCTCGGAGCTTCCTAGGTCGTGTCCTGGGAAGCCAAGGGCTGTGAATCAGGACCTGGGGTGTGAGAGGGTCTCGGGTAAGTGTGGGGGTCAGTCCCCTGTCTGGATTCCCCCTTCCACTCCTGGCTTCCCTGTTGAGTGGGAACCTGGGTTAAATGGGCTCTCACTACAGCTATTATAATTCCGCTGCAATGACAGCCCATGGTCACAGTCACAGGGATACTCAGAAGGCGTTGACACTCCAAAGGACCTCATACCTTTTTTGAGATTTCTAAAACTAAAAGTCTGACCTCATACGGTAGATACAGGAATCCAGAAGCTATCTGGTGGCCTGGGCCAGTGTAGACACCTATACACAGGGAGCAGAAAATGCAGGTGGCTGGTGGCCTCAACTGGGACTCTGTTTACAGGATGACAGTCCTGTCTTTACACAGACAAGGCATGGAAGATGGTTGGTGACTGTTTTCTGAGTCCTGCCTCGTGCAGAAGGCACAGGGTTGGAGCCAAGATGAGGCAATATGACATCTTAACATGACTTTCCTGTACCACCATCACTTCTATGTGATCCTAGGTATCAGTTCCCCTAACTCCCTCCAGATGGCGTCAGCTCATCTCTGTGAGCTTGAACTAACCACTCCAGCTACAGACGTGCCATTGACTGGCCACCATGCAGGTGAGTGTGGACAGGAGGGCTCCAGCTCTGCGTCCTTCTTAAGCTACTTTAGGCAATCCCAAGGCCACTCCCTTCCTTGGCACTCTCTGTGTCTGGACAGTCCCTTGGCTCGTGTGTCAACCCTGTGCCCATCTGGGGCTCTCATGGGTGGAGGTGTCTGTCAGGGATCAGGTTTTCCTAAAGTCTCCCTCGGGGCTTCTTAGGCTTGGGCGGCAGGAGAAGAAATCCAAGGAGATCTTTGCAGAGAGGGCTGAGTATTATTTTTTTTTTTAATAGTCAAAGTCCAAAATGTAAGAAAAGACAAAAATGAATTGGGAGCGGGAGGAAGTAGAGTGTGGGGGGGGAGAAATGAAGGACAGAAGTGGGTGGAAGGAAGGAAGGAAGGAAGGAAGGAAGGAAGGAAGGAAGGAAGGAAGGGGAGGGGAGGGGAGGGGAGAAGGGGAAGATAGCCTTTGGGTGGAAGCAGGAGGGAGGACTAAGCTACTAGGGATGGGAATGAGGACCAGAAGGAAGCCTTCTCGGGCTAGATGAGGACTTCGAGAGGCACCTAGGATCCCTGGCCTAGTCTCCGGGCACCCTGGGGCTCTACCTTCGTTATCTGTGGTGCATGCACACGGACTGATACAACTGAATGGCTGCTGGTCCTCTACGGAGGGTGCTCAACCAGGACAGGCTTCGTTCCACCCGACATCAGGTCAGGAGCGAGGTGTCTCCACAGAACCAAGGTCTCCTGGCACCACTGACGTTTACAGAGTCCCGGATGCTTGCTCACGTGTGGACGTGTGTGAGCGTGTGCGGACAGGTACGGGTCTGTATGGACACGTGTGGATGCGTGCGGAATCTCAGTCAAAGGTCAAATTCTGGAAAAGGCCCCTGAAGCTTTCTCCCCTCAGACCAGCAATACGCACAGTTCCAAGTCCAACTGACTGATAACGCCTATTGGTACAGGCAGGCAGCCCCCGGTCTCAGCAGGGAAGGAGATCTTTCCTATCACCACTTCAGGTATATTCTCCAGATCCACATCCTGTCTGCTGCCCTTCACGGTGCTTGCCATGTTGGCTTGCCAGCCCTGGTGGGGCAGGGCCCCTGTTTGGAGGCAGACTGGTCCTGCGGGTCGGTTCTGCCGGGAACCCTCGTCTCTCTGAGCTCTGAGTCACTGACTTCTTCGCCTTGACCCACCAAGCTTTCCCAGCAATGGGTCAGACATTCCCCTCTGACCTTCAACAAGAATCCTAGCCCCAGAGCACCTGCCACGGGCAGGCTGCAAGTCCCTTCCTATTCATCCCCATTATAGATGGAGCAACCCTCCCGTCTGTAACAGGGCTGTGATCCAGACTTCTGAACAAGTGTCACCCTGTGCATCTGAAAGGGGAGTCACAACAGCCAGAGACAAGTGTCCTGATACCTCCCCACCCCACCCCCACCCCGCTGTGCATGTACAGAACAATTGAAAGATGCTACACAGTGGTGCCCGGGTCCCTTGGGAGGACAGCCCCACGGTTCCATGAGGCTGGAGGCACCAGGGAGAGTTCCCATGGTGGTGACCCTAAGTAGGCACAAGTGTGTAGTCCAAAAATCAAAAGACATTCTGCTCTTGAAGGACATGTCTCCTTGATTAGAAGACAGCACCTGACCTAGAGCAAGAGGCAGCTGGAACAGGGGCCAGCTTCTTCATCACCAGCTTGAAGACATTGGTCACACCAAGGTTGTTGTCTCAAAGGACAGAATGTATTTTCTGGGGATAAGGATCCCAATGCAGGGGGGGTGGTAAACAAGTGGTTTCTGGTGTACCCCCAAAGGCAAGGAGAAAAGCATACAGCCATCAGAGCAAGGAGGGACCTTACCTGGATGTTCCTGGGCTCTGGGCTGGGTGCCACACACCTGCAAGGAAAGATCACGGGGTAAGTACGGGGATATCCTCCACAGACATATCTATCCCAGCTGCCTTTAGTGGCCTGGGGCATTACCTGGAAGCTGTAGAAAGACCAGAGTAGCCAGACCCAGCGGCAAGGCAGTGCCGGCAGATCCCTCATGGTGGGAACCAGGCGGCGGGATCCCCCACAGTCTTCAGGGAGCCTCTCTACCTCCAGCTTCCTGAGGACAAGGACATCTTCATCACAGGTTTCTGGCCACCAAGTCTGTCCCCTAAAGTTTGTGTCGTGTAAGGGCCTGAGAGCAGTTGGGGCGATTCTCCTCTCCAAACTGGAGTCTTCTGGGACCCGAAGGCTGGATGCAGCGCTGGATTGAGTGAGCACTCCTCCTTAGCTCCACCAGAGTTCCCCAAGCTCCTGGCTGTTGCTGCTGGGCAGGCCAGGGCCTCCTCCGGGTGCCTGTAGGCTCAGGAGTCCTCCGTGTCCTGGGCCTGGGACTGGCAGGCACTTGCCTCCCGTCTCAAGTCGGAGCTCAGAGCTCAGCTCAGCCTGGAGCTCAGGGATGTCTCTGCTGCCTCCTTCTGCAGCTGAGCTCCGCCACACCTCGTTGGCCCAGAGTCCAGGCCGTGGCTTTGGGTGGAGAGCCAGAGTGATGTCAGCGGGCCTCAAACTTTGTTCGCCTCTATTTATATCCGTCCCACTCCGGCCTTTCCTGGGTCCTAACACCAGTCTGTTAGGAACTGCTGAGTCCTTCCCAGGACTTTCCCATCAAAAGGTGGCCAGACAAGCCCAGGCTGTGTGTGTATGTGTGAGGGGTGAGAATGTGATGGGGGTGGGTGTGAGAGAGTGTGTGTGTAAATGTGGGAGAGGTTGTGAGGGTGAGAATGGGTGTGAGCATAGTAGTGAGAGTGTATTTGGGATGAGAAAGTGTGTGTAGGTGTGTGTGTGTAAGTATATGTGTATGTGTGAGAGTATTGGGGGTATAAGCATGTGGATACTGAGGGGTAGTGTAGGTGGGTGTGGGAAGTAAAATAGGTGTAAGTGAAGAATGAAGAGTGGGATGAAAGTGGAGGGGTGTGACAGTGTGGAGGTAGGTGTGAGCAAGTGTGAGGGTGTGAACGTAGGGAGATGCAGGTGTCAGGAGTATGTGTGGAGTGTGGGTGAGTGTGGGTCTACGTATGTTAAGATATCTTCTTCTCGGTGCTTTCTTAGTCACTGTATGCTTGTGATGTGCATAAGTGTGTGTGTGTGTGTGTGTGTGTGTGTGTGTGTGTGTGTGTGCTCCACATCCTATAGATGTGGGGGGAGTGGGATGTGAGAACATATGCATGTGGTGTGTGTATATTCTGTGGACATGTATGAGTGTGGCCATGTAGGCATGCAAGGTATGTGTGGCTATGGATGGATATGAGTGTGAGTAAGAGTGTAGATGAGTATGGATGTATTGGTGTGTGGGTATACATAATCAGGGCATATTCTCAGCAGCACCCTCAAGGTCTCATTAGCATTAATAAGTACATGGGGCCAGAGAGTTGTCTCAGTAATTAAAAAGCACTTACTGCTATTGCAAAGGACCTGAGTCCAGTACCCAGTGCTCACATCAGGCAGCTCACAACTGTCTGAAGCTCCAGTTCCAGGAGATCCAACAGCCTCCTCCAGCCTATTCATCCAACAGCCTCTTCTGGCCTACTCGGACACCTAGACACATATGATGCACATAAACTCATGTATCCTCACACACATACACGTAAGTAAAAATAATAAACCCTTAAGAAACAATGCTAAGGGCTGAAGAGATGGCTCAGTGGTTAAGAGCACTGGCTACTGTTCCAGAAGACCCAGGTTCAATTCCCAGCACCCACATGGCAGCTCATACCTGTCTGTAACTCGGTTCCAGGAGACCTGACACCCTCACACCAGTGCACATAAAATAAAATAAAATTATTTTTTAAAAAAAGAAACAATGTTAATAAGCACGAGCGTAGTTGGGGATGGGCGTGCCTCAGTGCCTTGTGAATATGCATGTATTGTCGGCTCATTCCCATTGGCACCCTCAAAATCTCTATCAGTATTAGTAAGCACACGTGTGGATTAAACCGGGAACTCCGCTAGGATCCGGGTCTGCTCGAGCATGGGAAAACAGTGATTATGCACACAAAGAAAGGAGGCATCGGAGTCAGGAGATGCTGCCAGCTGCCGCCATGAGTACCAACATGTAAGATACTGGTAAGCCACGAGCCATGTGGCACAGATTTGTAGAAAGGGGTTAATTTAAGATGTAAGAATTAGATAGCTAGAAGCCTGAGCCATTAGGCCAAACAATTAAAAAAAAAAAAAAAAAGAAAGAAAGAAAGAAAAGAAAGAAAGGAGGCATCTACCTACCCATGCCCCATCCAGAGCTGGCCATGCTTTCTTTCAACCCACCCTTGCAGAATTCAAGAACACCCGCTGACGTGTGGCACCTTCCTTTAATTATACAATCCCACCTCAGCACACCTCAGCACCCAACTGAGTCCGATTTCTGTTAGCTGTGCCTCAGTTTAGTCGAGGCCAAGACTACTTGATCCACCTTGCTCCAAATGTGCAAACACGCACACACAAACACACACACACACACACACACACACACACACACACACACATACATTGCCCTCACACCCGCACCATAACCACCCCTGCAGAGTATGTCCAGTAGCACGGCCACAAGGCACACAGCTCCCTCACCCCCGCTCCCTCCACTTGTGTGCTCTCGGGCAGAGCTGTCTCCCTCCTGAATTCCTCCTCTGCAGGCTGGAGGCAGCCCTGAGTGTCCAGGAGACAGAGATTAACATATAAGGCCCTTAACACGGGGCTTGGAAGAGAGGTAACAGCACTCAATAAATGTTCGCGATTACTACGATAAAGTGGAGCATAGCACCCAATAAACGCTGGCTATCGCTAACATCTCAGTTGCCCTGACTTTACATGGGAATTTAGAGTCCTGAGTCCAGCAGGCTTCCTAAAGAGGGCCGAAAGAGGGCTTCCAGCCCCTGGGGGGTGCAGGGAGAAGAGACGTCAACGCAAGGTGATTGCAGTAATTCCTGCCAGCGCTGACAACCTCCCTTGCTATCTGGTCACCTCGCTAAGGAAGGCTCCAGATGGCTCTGTGGATAGCCCTCCTCCCAGAGCCAGAAAACCTGGACTCTGACCTCCAGGCTATTTGTAATAATGACCTCTCTCACTTGGTGCCTAGGTGCCTGCCGGTCAGGGAGAACGGGAATTTATAGCTTTCTCAGCCCCTCCCCCAGAGGGAGAGCGGAGGGAGGAGCCTCAGCGCCATCTGAACTTAAGAATTCAAACAGCTTGCTGAGTACAGACCTTTATTTCCAAAGGGGGAAAATAAAACCAGGAAGTATCTTTTAATATAAATTTGTCCTTGGATAAAAAGAGACACCTGATTCAATGACAATAGTGAAAATTGGTTGAAAAACACATTTTCACAGGACCGTCTGCCAGGGGCCAGAGCCTAGGTACCAAGACCCAGCCCACAGGGTGCTCACCTGTCACTGTACTTCTGCACCCACACAGGCTGGAGCAGAGACTCCCCTACACCTCCCTTTCATTCCATGCTTTCTCAAAGCTGGGTTTTGCCTGACGCAGAGGTCAGAGGGCAACTTGTCAGAGTCTGTTCTCTCCTTCTACCATGTGATACCCAGAGACGACACTCCGAGGGCTGTCATGCTTGGTGGAGAGCACCCTGACCCAGTAAGCCATCTCGCTGACCCAGCATGTTATTTACTACGGTCAGAGTACAGTGCATAGAAAACTAACTAAAGCATCCTCCTCCAGCCTCCCGAGACTATGTACCCGGGACCAGCATGTCCCTTCCCTGACTTGCCGCTTCTGGCTTCCACTCACTCTGTTGTTCCTATGCAATTGACTTCCTAAGACTCCACATACAAGCAATCACACTGTGTTTGTCTGTGATTTGCTTTATTCACTTAGCATAATTCTGGATATGGATCTGGAATGGCGTGTGGGCTTGCCGTCCAATAACCAGGTCCTTTTGTGAGCCTCATTCCATCACTCCCGTGGGTGGCACCCAAGTGTCACCCCGACAGGTGGCTTCCAGCCCTTCCCCGTTGTTTTTCTTTCATGGACATTAATCATCACCTGACATACATTTTTATCTCCAACATTCATTTCAGTCACTGCCCCACTCTTCTGGCTGAAACGGGCATGCGGCGGAGCCACGTGCTCACTCTGAGACAGGGCCGAATATCTGACACCCGATATTCAAACAGTACCCTTTGAATGAATGCATGCCCACTTAACTTAAAGGATGTGTGGGGAAGTGTTGTGGTTCAGGAAAAATCCATCAGATTTTATTGAGTGGCTGCTAATTAAATATTTAAAAAATGAGCCTTAAGCTTTGATGAGGCTCTACTCAATAAATGTTTATGAGGTTGCTGAAGAAGGCGGGGGCTTGCTGGTGACAGGGTATGAGTGAATTACACAAGGGCCAGCCTGGGCAGGACAGAGGTCCTGCAGGGGTCAGTCTGGAATGGCCAAGGAACTCAGTAGAGAAGTTTCTTTGCTGAGTTCTGTATTCTCAATCACACCACCCGTGCCCAGTCACGTGCCTTCCACCAACTGTCTCAGCTGTGTGAGGCAGCTAGCTTGTGTGTTTGATCACACACACACACACACACTCCCTGCAGATGGACAGACAGAACAATGGCTTCTGCCACACAATGGTCGCATGCCATAGGCAGGCAGGAACAGGAAAAGGCAGACCCGGAAGGACTGAAGGGTGAAGTCGTTAGGGTAATGATGTGGAGGAGTTAGGGGAGTCTTTCTCCTGATGGCTAAAAAAGGGAAGAACAGTCTATAAGAGCAAATAAATGAATGAACAAAGTAACCTGTGGAATACACTAAACTCAGGACAAACATACATTCCTGAGAAACAGCATCTGAAGCATGCTTGTGTGCTTACACATGCATGCTTGTGCAAGCGCACACACACACACACAGAGAGAGCTGCTGCCAGGGCTGGGGTGTGTGTGTAGCTCACCTGTAGAGTGCTTCTCTTAAATGCACAGGACCCTTGGTTTCACCCCCAACAACTTCCCGGAAGAGAATAAAGGTCACTACCTGCAATGATTAGTCTTCATTGTCCAACTTGAATGGATTTGGGATCACCTAGGAGACACACTTTGGGGTGTGACTACGGGGGAGAGAGGGATAGCTGTGAAGACTCACCCTGAATGTGGGCAGCCCTATCCCATGGGCTGGGGTTCTGGACTGGAGAAGCCAGCTGAGCACCAGCCTTTAATACTTTCTGCCCCCTGACTGCAGTTACAGTGTGGCCAGCTGCTTCCTGTCCCTGCTATCACAGCTTGACCCCATGCCTTCACCGCCATGATGGACTCTTCCCTCGAGCTGTGAATCAAAACAGACCCTTCATTGCTTAAGTTCCCTGGGTCAAGTATTTTGTCACAGCAGTGATTAATACACTCTCCTTCCAGGAAGGAATGGCCACTGGCCTGTGGACAATAAGACATGGATGGAAGTCTCCAAGGAAAGGACTCCAAAGGCATGCATCTTCTTTACTCTTTTAGAGCCTTCTTAAGCTCTTTCCCTGGCTTGAAGGTGGCAGCCGGGAGCAGTGGATGAGGAACAGTGTTCTGCTGGTTCTGATGATGATGGAGGAAACCATGAAGATGCTGGCAAGAGAAACCCAGTCCACGTCCAAAGTATTCTTGACTCTTCTTGACCCGCTAGAGAGGGGAGGGGAGGAAATGTCCAACCTGTCATCCACAGTCAGTCAGACCACCGGAGAGATGGGACTTGAGCAGTTGCCTCAGAGATAGCTGTGTGCAGGAGGAACAGAGAACTCGGCAGAGACCTCCAAGAGTTTCACAAGGAACACGGATTGCCCCCACTTTCACTCTCTTTTCCAAGGACTCCAGCAGGTGCCCACAAGGAAGGCTGACAGGGGGTAGGTGACAGGACATGCCACAGCACACACCCAGGAAAGTCAGCATCACTGTTAAAAAGGGCTGCCAGCCCTGCCCAGACCTTTCATCCTTGGACCAAAGTTCTTCCCTTCCTGGGAGTTGGACAGCCAGGCTACACCAGGTGACACCTTGCAGGAGACCAAGAATGGCAGGAAATGGGGCTCAGAATATTTGGGCTCTCTTTCTGCCGAAGGTAGGCAGAGTAGTGAAAAAACCCACCAATGACACAGGGGCACAGGGCCACTGAGGCAGAGCTCACACCGTCCCACCACCAGGCCCGTGGGAGGCAGTATTTGGGGGCTAGAGCAAGAAGAATTCAGGGGGGTGATGGTACAAAGAAGATGTGGACCCTGGAAGTGCAGTGAGATATGGTGAGGAGCTAAAGGACCAGACAGCCCTACCCTAGGCCAGAGGAGTATGGAGCAGGAGGATTGTGGGGCCTTCAGTGTTAGGGGTCTCCAGAGCAATGGAGCCAGACTCAGGGCAATACCCATTTGGCTAGATGGGCTTAATGCACACGAGAGTGCGTGCTTGGGCACACACAGACACACATGCGCACACTCTAATGGCTCAGCAGGAACTTGGCCTACCTCTGGCACAAATATAGCTTATCAGTCTCCAACGTCTTCCCAAGCTGCCCATTCTAATATTATGACACACACAAAGGCAAGAAAAAAAAAAACGAAA